AACACGAACGCCACTGAGGTCGGCTCCTAACCATGTCAGAAGTGTATCTTTCCAAACGTGTTTATCGTCTCTCGGACCCCAACCAGGAAGCCGAGAGGCTTCAACCGAGGCCAACATCAAATGCGGGCCTTCATTGGTCTCGACCAAATCATCGCTTGGCTACCCCTTCTCTTCTCCCATCCACATCCATAGCGCGCAACCAACGCACGTCACGGGAGTCGGTGGGCTGGCCTGCGTCACACGTGCGTAAAATAACGGAGCTGAGCGGTTCATTTCCTCTTCATGTGCCATAAACAAGGCGTTGAACACGCTCGCTGCTCACGCGGTGTTCCCACCAAATATGAGCCAAACTGCGAAGACATCGGTGGTTTAACGTAGCTGACCTCTTTAGGTCTGCTGACCTAATGGGCCAGGTTTTACAGCCGCAAAGTGGAGTTGAACGGACGGCTGCATTGTACACTGCCCTTCAGGGAGCTAGTGATGTCGCTCCGCCGTCCCGTCTTCGGTCCCAAGGGCGCTGATACAACTTCCCAGGAAGTTGAATTTTTGAACGACTTCCAGCTGATCCCAACCAACCATCAGCAAAGGAAGCGGTCTCTGCAATCTCGGAGGAAAGTTTTGCACTTTGTGAGTTAAATGCATTACCCAGAAACGGCTGACGGCGACTGCTAATCTCTCCAGTGCTGCTTGTCGCGTATGTGAGCTGTCACAGATTACGACAATATCGTCAGCTTATTCCAGATAACCTGTTTCCACTCACAGGACGCCTGCGCCTACAGAGGGATCATGCGTGGCTTGCGCTGCACCACAGCTCCATCCACACACCCCATATCCAGTGTAAACCCGAAGGAATAAGACCGGGAGGCATGTGGATAGGAGCCACGTTTCATCAACGGAGCCGGCCCACACCTTCAATGACAAACACAAGCACGCTGTATTTTGGGAATCAAGCTCATAAGGCGGTGGCTGTACCGTGGTCCGCTCCACACTGAGTGCATGGAACTACCCTTCTAGCCTAGCACAGCCACAAGGACCGTGCCCCCGTCCTCTCCAGCAACGATCAACTGTCTCCTAGAGCCTGTATTGACGAGGTAGTGAGTAATAGACAGGTAGGCACCTTATCAACATGCACATCAAGCGCAGCCATACCGAGGATATCAAGCAAGAGCCAACCACTTGCAAAAACAATATCAAACAAAATAAATCGGATAGTGCATACATGTAAGGTGACCTAACTCTTCACTAAATGAGCATATGAAATAAACTGGTTGCGAACAAATCCGCGATAGGTTTCAAGCCGTCAGAAAATATATTTCATGAAAATGCCACAAACGCGAAAATGTTATCGAATTTAACTACAATTAGCTTCAGCGACGTGTGCAAGTTTATGGAAGATAGTCCAGGTAGATATACATATGAGAAAGAAAAGCACTCGGGCAATATAGCAAACCCACCACTTGAAATAAAGCGACTTAGCTTGCAAGTAAGCGGTTAGTAAATCGAATGCAGCGTACTTACAAACGCCGGGCCGGTTCGGCCTATATTCTCAACAGGACTCGTCGTCCTTTTTGGGGGCTCCGAGTGACCTCGCTTATGACTCACTAGGCCTGTCTGACTCAGGCATTCGCGACCGCAATTGCTACAGCATCATGCGCTCGATGTCGATGGAGTAAAATCCATAATCACCTGTCGCTTCTTCTCTGCATGCATGGCTTCCTCTTGCACCTCGGCAACTGCCTTCGTGATCAGATCGCGCCATGCACGCCGATCCACCGCCTTCGATTCCCATGACCTGAAATCAAGATTAGAACGTGAGAGGCTCACTTTGGTCATGTCCTGGTAACGAAGCTTCGGTTTCCCAACATGTCGATTCCCAATACTGAGCTCACCGTATAATAGTTGTTTCGCTATCCGCGTTGAATGCATACGGCTCACATGACCAAGACACCTCAAGTGTTTCAGCGAAGGTATGCAGTCCACTGCATGCATTCCACTTTGTCGTAACACTTCCGTGTCTGCAACTCTGTCTCCCCAACCGGTGCGCATAATTCGTCGCAAACATTGTTGGTGGAACCGTTCGAGATATGGCACATCTCGCCGGTACATCGTCCACGTTTCGCTGCTGTATAGAAGAACGGACAGCACCATGAGTTTGTACACCATCAGCTTCGTGCCAACAGTAAGCTGATGATTGTTCCACACTCGGTACTCTAGCTTCCCGAATGCTGCCGCTGCCTTCGAGACTCGGATACGAAACTCACTGTAGCTGCGTGTCAGTCGACATCACACTCCCAGGGTAGCAAAAGCGGGAGGTGGTTTCCAATACTTCAGCACCAATGCTGATTCGCGGCAATATTGAAGATTGCACATCCGGTGAAGGCTGAAAGAGACAGACAGTTTTGTTTGTGTTGATGGTGAGCTCGAATTTGGTCGCTGTCGAAGCTAGAACACTAGTCATGTGCTGCAACTCGTCCGCGCTGTGTGAAAACAACGCACAGTCGTCAGCAAACAGCGACATACGGATAGTTGTCTCACAGACTAGGGTTCTCGCATTGAAACGACGGATGTTCAGCAACCTACCATCAATACGGTGCTCCACACGAACACCGTAAGCACAAGCCACATCAAAAGCACAAGACATCATTGCATGAAGATAAATATTGAACGGGCAGAAGTTAAGCCACAGTCTTGCTTCACACCAGTGACAACAGCAAGTCATCTGGGGTCTGTCCACTCAGCTGCACCCGCCCGCATAACACTGTCAGACATTCAATTAACCTTACAAACTATACGCGTACAACCAAATTTACCCAACACCACCAAGTCCAGCCAGTTGCACAAGCGACTAAGCAAATCGTCAGACACGATTGAAAGCAAAACGATGGATATTCCAATCAATCAAATACTCTACATTGAAGTGTGTCCAAAGTGGAATTCATAATGAGGACATAGCTGAAGGAATGTGTGTTCATCAAGCCGTAAAAATATCAACAGATGAGAGTCCACAGAATATACAGCGTTGATCGTGTGTTGAAGGGATCAAGTAGAACCAAAGTCAGGGGGCTTGCGTGTCTGTAGTGCTTTTCTAGTGAGTCCAATGGGAACATGTTTGAACAGGCAAAACAACCGCAATACTTCCTACCAAAATCCTTCCCAGATTTTCTTCTTGCTTAGCAATCCTTCTCCCACTCTGGTTGCTCTTATCTACTCCTGCTCGGCAATGCTTTCAAATAACCCATTACTTTCTTCTTGATTCTCAAGCAAACAAATCTTCCCTATGTCTTTAATTGAACCATCCACAGTTCTGACCAATCCATCGTCAGAGGTTACAGAGTCCTCAATTACTTCAGGGGGCCAGTGCCCTCGTGTTAGCGTCTCAGAGGTAACCAATACAACATCCCCGAGTTTAAAGTTTCGTTCTACTTCTAGTCACTTTTTTCTCATATATAACAGCGGTAAACATTTGTTGGTCCTCCTCTCCCAGAATATTGGTGCAAAGTAGTTTGCCTGTTTCCAACGTTGTCTTTAACATCGTTGTAATGTCGGCGATATCCACTAGTCTGTATTCGACCGCAACAATAACAGGTCCTTTGGAGTGAGTTCTAGTAGGTCACGCGCGTCCGCGGTCAGTGGGATGAGAGGTCTACCTTTATCGACACGTTCCGCCTCTGTTAGAAATTTAACTAAGGCCTCGCCGTTGAGGGATTGTTTACGCGCAGTGAACGGCAATACTCTCCTGACCGTTCTAAGGATGCTTTCCAAGACCCCACCGTGATGACTTGCCAATGGTGGCTTCAAATTTCACCGAACACCCCTGCTCAGGAGTTTGTCATTGATCTTATCATGCGACCAACGTCGTATCGCTTGCAACGACATCACCAAAATTCGTACCATTGTTACTGAAAAGTTCCCTCGGGACCAGCACTCCTTGCGATAAATCTGGTGAGTGCCATACTAATGGAATCAGTGCTCAATGAATGAGAGACCTCAACGTGAATCGCTCTCATCTGCAAACAATTGAACACGCAGCCTTATGGTTTCTCATGTCTTCTGCCGCACTTAGTAAATAGTGGCCCATAGTAGTCGACGCCCACGTATCTGAATGGGAACCAACCCATTGGTACTCTAACCGGCGGTAAGGGTTCCATCATCTGTTCTCCAGTGAGCGCTGTCTTCTACTTGTCCGACACTTACCAATTGTCCGTTTGACAGCTGATGCTCCCTGAACAATGCAATACTTGCGCCGCCCTGACGGAAACCGATCAACGGAGATACGGTTGACATGAACTAGCCAACGCAAGCGGATTAGATTCAGCACACACTCGGGGTGGCGAAGATCAGAGTCATTATTTGATGCCCTAACGGATTAAGGTCTTTTAAAGCCTTCTACGCATTCGGTGAGCTAGGAAGCAGACATTCGCTGGTCTCGCGGATGTCTTTGATAGCAACCGTTAACCACTATGAACACTCACTGATCACGTAAATATCTTCACCTTCCGTTCCAACATCGCTATGTATGCAGGCATTATTCTTTAACTCAAAGCACACTCTTGTTTCAGTTGATAGCCTGTATTTAGGCGTCTGCTTATGATCGTGGGACCAATCTGTGCTCTTACGTTCCGCCCTAGTATGTCCATACACGTTTTTCTTGGTCTCCGTACTGTTGTTCGACTACGGTTGTTCAACCGTGTACTTGGAATTTTCCTCTTGTCTGGCTCATTAGCGGTGCAATGTCCATGCTCCTTGCTTCTTCCCACGCCTCTATGATCATCAACATTCCAGTTGTCAACCAACCTGTGCGATGGCCACACCCCCTGCTTGCATTCATTAGTTTGACTACGTCCTAACTTTTATTGCTACCTTATTTATGTACCTGTTACTAAGTTCACCCCCCCCCCCAATATGTTCACATCCTTTCAGCTGTGGGATTTGTTGACACATATTATAGTGAGGCCGCATTTACATTGCTAATTCAAATCATCCACTTTTATTTTGTACAGGGAAAAGGGTGGTGCATATGGAGGTCGGGCAGTTGCTAAGCCTCTGTCCCTCCTTTTCTACTCCTACCGGTGAGTCTGTTTTCGTGCTGGGTGCACTTATAACTATTTTCTAGTCGTCATCGACTCTGTTGTTCCACTTTAATTACTCTTACTTTTGGTTCAGAAATGCTGCTACCGACGTTGGTGTGCCGTGTGAGTTGTAAACATGGGCGGTTGTTTTCACTTCCTTGACCCTTAATTTTCACCCACTGGCTACATGATGCTACGATGTTGCATCTATAACACACACAACGACTACAAGCCATGGTATGAATTGAGCTGACTTTCCTTAACGCGCGTCGACGCCTCAAGCCTTTCGGTGGACCTAACTAACAACCGCAGCGTGTATTACCCTGGTTAACCTGTTCTCACCGGCAAAACTTACCATCTGTGTTTCCCTCCATGACACTCTGTAAAGGTTTTCTCTGCTTTCTTC